CACATCGGTATATGGTTATAAACATCGCATATAGCACTTTCACCACATGTGTCTTTACACGGATTTATACATTTATTACGAACACAAGCCTTGTCTCTAGGGCAGTCATTGTTAATTACACATTCTGGTCTACAACCTGAGTAAGGATCTCCATAGTATTCATTAATACATGAACATTGGCCATTATTACATATTGCATTTGATCCACATGGGGTTGGATTACATGGGTCTTTTTCAACAGGTTCTGGAACTAAATACCTTGTCATGTAGTATTTCATATTTAATTTTTTTTTAGTGACTTACTGTTTTGTATTGGTTTTATATAGCACGATGTGAAAGGATCTCCAACAAAACCTTCACGACATACACAATTTGGAGTATGATTTATAACATTGCAGTATGCATCAATACCACAAGATCCTGGACACGGGTCTTGACATCTCTCTCGAATACATGCTAAATTGCTTCGGCAGTCATTGTTTAACACACATTCGGGTCTACAATTTGGCGGACTACCGAAATATTGTGATAAACATGTGCATGATGGTACTCCACCAATATCTCTGCATTCTGAATATAAACCACACGGAGATGGAACACACGGGTTTATGTAAATATCTTGTTGTTGTGGTGGTGGTGGTGGTGGTGGAATTAAGTAACAGCGAGAGAATGGATCGCCTTGATACCCCGCTTGACAAGAACATATTGCGTTGTGTTTTATAACTTTGCAAATAGCATTTGAACCGCAAGGTCCCGGACATGGGTTGACACATTTTTGATTAATGCATGCGTGAATATTACTGCATTCAGAACTTAATACACATTCAGGTCTACAACCAGGAGGACTTCCGTGATACAAAGGGAGACATGAACAAACGGCTTGTCCATTTATCTCTTTACATTGACTATTAGGTCCACATGGTGATGGAACACAAGGAGTATTGGGCTCAGACTGTACAACTATTTATAAAAACATATTATTATATTAATAGTAAAACAGACTAAGTATATTGAAGTTATATTTAATTGAAATAATATCCTTACCTTGAGAAGGAATCAAATTACAGTATTTGAAAGGATCTCCTGTGTAACCATTATAACATGTGCACGTAGGAAGATGATTTATTACTAAACACTCTGCATTTGGTCCACAAGATCCAGGACAAGGATTTTGGCATTTATTTCTAATACACGCTTTATTAGACGCGCAGTCGGTATTGAGTGTGCATTCATATCTACATCCATCATAAGGATTTCCTTCAAATCCAGGCAGACAACTACATGAGCCAGCACCGTTTAGTTCTTTACAAACAGCATTAGTACCACATGGAGAAGGCTCACATGGAGATAAATACTCGGTGGGTACTGGGTCAGCTAAATAATTATTATTGCAAAGACAATATTAATGGATATTTAAAAATTAAATCTCTACAGTAAAAAAAAATTTATTAATCACACAAT